GTGAGAAGGGCTTTGGGGAAACAGGGCAAGGGCGGCCGAAAGGCCTGGAGAGGCAGAGGCAGCAGAAGCTGCACCGTCAGGTCTGCGACGCGAGGCCTCGGGAGGTGCTGAGGGTCCTTTCTGGCCTCCCCCTCAGCTGATGCTGGAAACCTTCCTGGGGTGGTCTCACTCTTGCTATGGCCCTGCACCCCTGATGGGGGAACTCACTGGTCCCCACCCTTTTTCCTAATCATTGCCTCCCACCCTCCCCTTTCCCTGGCAAGACCAAGCGAGGGCTTTATTTTTCATCTCAATAGGGAAGGTGCATATTTCACAAACAAACATTTGTGTACATTTTTATAGAGGGCGGTGTGGCCCAAGAAACATGGGGGCAGTGGGACAATAGGTTTAACAGATTTCAAAGGAAGGGTGCCTGGTTGGTAGAGATAGAACAGAATAAAGTGAGGATGTGTCATGCACTTACACAGAAGAGGATCATGGGACCCAAGCAAAGCTGTCAGAAAGTGAGTACAGTCCCCGAGCTTAGGACCTGGGAAGCCTTCAAAGTCAAATACAGGTGGGAGGTGGGGCTCCGGGCCACTCCCTGCCTGGTTGAACGAGGAAACCCCTTGCCTGCATCCCCACCCAGGCCTAGCCATTCTCACGCCTCCCTCCCCCTGCACGTGGTCGAGCCCACTCACCCGTTTCCTTCACCCACAGTTGTCTCACTGGGCACTTGATTAAAGAGACTGATAGAATCAGAGCGAGTGAAGAAATGGTGAAGGCAGGGGCAAGAGCGTAAGCATCGGCAATGAGGCATTTTCCAGGAACTGAGACCTGAGATGAGCTGGCTGCAGTCAATCTCTACCCACAGTGGTTCTGGAATATGCCCTGAGTACACATTGGCTGTATAAGGAGTGACATAGGTCTGTCTCGGTACCTGAACCCTGAGATTCCTGGGCACTCACTTTAGAGATCTGCAGGTCTGTGTAGTTCAAAACCCCTGAGGCTAATTATCCTAGATAGATGGCTATCTCCCTTGAAAGCAACAAGCAAATTGCTGCTCATTTACAAACCCACTGAGACTTCCTGCTCTCCCGTGGAAGGGGTGTAGGCGGAGCTCACGCGATCGGCGGTCTCCCGGTAGAAAATTGGGCATTGTTTGCAGAGGTGCTTGGCGATGTGCTTTCGGAAGAACACGGAGAGGTACCGTCTGAACTTCTCCCCGACGAAGGCGTAGATGATGGGGTTGATGCAGCAGTGGGTCATGCCCAGGGTCTCCGTCACCTGCATGGCTTGGTCCAGCTGGCTGGTCCTCTGGCAGGTACTCAAGTCAAAGAACTCCTGGAAGGTGTCCAGGAGCAGGACGAGGTTGTAGGGAGCCCAGAAAAGGAAGTAGACGATCATGATCACGAAGATGAGCCTCACGGCCTTGTGCCTCTTCTTCTCGTTGCGACACCGCAGCAGGGTCTTCAGGATTCCCGAGTAGCAGACGACCATGACCAGCAGGGGCAGGACCAGGCCCAAGAGGGTCCTCATTATCGTATGGAAATTCTTCCAGCCAACTGGGAAGTAAGGGCCGCAGGAGTAAACAGACTCCTCAGCTTGGGATTTGGTGAAGATGATTCCTGGGAGAGAGGCGAACACGGCCACCACCCAGGTGACCCCACTGGTCACCACCCCAAACGTGACCGTCCTGGCTTTTAAAGCAAACACAGCGTGGACGATCGCCAGGTACCTGTCAATGGTCAAGAGGATGATGAAGAAGATGCCTCCAAAATAACCAATGTGGTACATCCCTGTGAAGACTTTACACATCACGTTCCCCAGGGCCCACCAATTCGCAGCAGAATGAATCCACACTGGGAACGTCAGAAGGAAGAGCAGGTCGGAGAGGGCCAGGTTGAGCAGGTAGATGTCAGTCATGCTCTTCAGCTTTTTGCAGTTGATCAGGATGAGGACGACCAGCAGGTTGCCCACAAACCCGAAGATGAACACCAGCGAGTAGAGCGGAGGCAGCAGCCTGCCTGCGATCTGTTTCACGTCGTCTTTCACACAGGGTGCGCTGTCCTCCCCGTAGTCAAAGACGGTGGTGGGGTCTGCGCCGTCCACCCGGATGTTTGTTGTAAGCAGAGAATGAGATGTGGTCAGCATGTTGTGGCTGAGTTGGATCCACGTGTCATTGCCTCCCATCCTCCTCCGTCCTGCAAGCAGAGAACAAGATGGTAACACAACGTAACTGCTCCAATTCTCCGTCTTAAAAGTATTCTTGCCCCTTAAGCAGCATCCAGTCTTTGTCTTTGCTTCAAAGTCATCTCCTTGAAAGCATGCGTGCTAGTGTGCCACTTCCCTTTATTCCTAGTAGAGAAGCTAGTCATCTTCCCCAACCGCTCTTTGCTAACACCACTGGCCACCCCAGAGAGCCCGACTCTCATTATAAGGCGAATATGCTGCACACTTGCTCTCTCCCTCCTCAGCAGATGACCCATTCCGGGATGATAATCTAGGAGATGCTGCCTAAAGGCTCCTGCAAGCACTCTTCTCTGATAAGAGGGTGCAAGAGAAACCTCGGCCTGACCTTCCCCTCTTGGAGCTTGTGTTGGTGCTTGAGACCAAGACTGAAGGACCCAGAGAAGTGGAGTTAATCTAAACAGAGTCCCCAAGTCCCAAACCCACGCTTGTTATCTGAGAAAAGTGAGGCCCTGTGTTTAAGCCGTGATGCGTTGCCTTTTCTGTGACCTGCAGCCAAAAGTATTCTAACTGATAATCTTCTCAACTTTCTGCCTTCATCATGTGCCAAAATGACTCTTGTTAAGGTTGTCATGACAACCCGATATTTATTTATTTTTTTTTTCATGTCTAACTGATAATCTTCTCAACTTTCTGCCTTCATCATTTTGCCAAAATGACTCTTGCTAAGGTTGCCATGACAACCCGATATTTAAATGCCCTGGCTTCATTTCAGTTTCATCCTCACTGAGCCGTCGATCCTTCTGATGACTCCTTCCAAGTAGAACACGTTAGCTCATCTCTCACCACTTCTTATGAATTTTCTTCGTTGGTGTCTCCTCCCCTTGCCCACACTGTAAGAGTCCCCAGGCACCATTCTTGGCTCTCACCTCTTTACCTTTTTCCTCTTCATTCTCGCTCCAGAGTTCTTCCTGAATCGTGTCACCTAATCTCAGGGTTCTAAGTCCCCTGAATACTGGTGCTTCCTAAAGCTCTGTCTTCCAGTCTCATCTTTCAACTCCTATACCTCGGAGTGGAATTTTCCACTGTCTACTGCGTATCTCCCCTTGGACTTATTCACTTATCTATTGAGCGCCTCTTAGGAGCCATGCTCTGTTTTAGGCATTAGAGCTACAACAGTGGGCAAAGTGGGTATCATACAGGCACCTCAAATTCCACTTAGCCCACACTGCACAGCCCTGGAAACTTGCTCCAACCTGTGGATTCTTATTTGGCTGTTGTCCTTGACTACACTACCCAAGAAGCAGAATGGGGCATTCTTAGGAACCAGGTCTTGGGAGTCAGACAGACCTAGATTTGAATCCTGCCTCCAACTAACAAGTTGTGTAACTTGGGGCTAATTACTTCTTTAACTATCAGTTTCTTTATAAAAGAAACTAGTATAAAATATTAACTAGGCTGGGCTGTCATGAAGATGACTGGAGACAAGGGCTCAGTGCAGCACCTGGTGTGGAGACACGCTCTGTGTTGTTATGATGATGCCACATGACTTCTCCCTCATAAACTTCTACCTCTGAGATTCATCCCTCTGAGCCTCTTTCAAAGGCCACTTCCTTGCCTCAGATGCTTCTCACTCTTGCCTTAGTTGTGGTCTCTCGTTTGCTCAAGGTTATTCCTGGCCATGCTCCCTTCACTCTGTCTTCTCTCAAACTGAAACTGGATCGTGCCCTTCTCAGCTTAAAACCTCCCGTGGCCCCATGATGTGTATGTGATGGGACTGCAAAGGCCATGCCCAGACTACTCATCACGCTTTTTCTGAACTCACTTCTCAGCTCCACCTCCAATGCCTCCTCAAATTCCAGGCCCTCTGCTCCAGACATAGCCCTCTTCTCTCCATTTCCCCAAACTCGTCATTTCCTTCAGGCTTCCATGGTTTGCACACACTGGCCCTTCTGCCTAAAATGGCTGGTGAGCTCCCATTCATCCTCCACTACCTCCTGCTCAAATTCCCCTTCTCTGAAGCCTCCTCCTTTATTTTTGCATGCCTATAAATAAGCCCATATCACCTTATCTTCTACACACTGTGAGCTCCTTGAGGTCAAGAACTAGATCATGTTTCTGTCTCCAGCCCTTATGATGGCACCTGGCTAAAGGAGGCACCAATAAAAAGTATGACATTAAACATCATTAGGCTTGATTCTCAAGACTATTCTTTTTTTCCTGGCAGTGACTTTGAATTTGTTTGTATCTCCATACACATCTTATCTTTTTATATGTTTATACATTCTTTAATTCCTCCTGTGATTGGTACATTTCACAGATCTTGCATTTCATATCACTGAGCCAGATTCTTGAAATCTGCAGCACCTACCCAACATCTCTGATCAAGTGCATCCATCCAAAGAATTAAAACTGTAATCACTTGCAGCCTGCTAGTCCTCTGTTAAGCTCCAGGTTCTATGCTAAATACTTTTCAGGCATTAATTAACTTATTCATTGCAACAAATGTGTGAGATAACGATGCATTTTACAAGTGAAGAAATGCAAGCATGGATGGATTAAATGACTTTCCCAAACCCACAAAGCAAGCAGTGGCTGGGCTGGAATTGGGACTCTGGGCTGTTCAATTTCAAAGGCCTCAGGGCTTTCATCTCATTTCCAGGCTCTGAGAGCAGAGATGGGTGTAGAAGAACAGGTAACAGATTTTCTAGGTATTTTCCCATGCCTAGAATCCACACTCACCACATGAACATGTCCACCCATGCATGAGCAAGCATACCCTACACACACACACACACACACACACACACACACACACACACACTCCCACCAGAACACAGGCTCCATGAGGGCAGAGATCTTCGGCTTTGCTGTGAAGTATCACAGTGTCCCGGAACCCAACCCAGCACATAGTGGCTACTACATAAATATCCGTGGAGTAAGTGGTTAACAGAACTAGCAGGCTGCAAGTGACTGAGCAACAGAATGTCCCACTGAGGACAAGATGCCCAGGTAATCCAGCGCGAGACCTTATAAAAATGAATATACTGGGGACCCGAGCCCCTAAGTGCAGCAAGTTCTTGGGTGGTTCTGTATTTAATCAGGGTTTAGTTTCCTCTTTTGTATGGGAAAGTGTGGACTGAAGCAGTGGTACTCAATGCCGCACTCCAGTATCACACAGGAAGTCTGGCAGTTAGAAATATCTAGCCCAGACCCTCACTCTGATGATCCAGATCAGGGTGAGGGAATATGAGGGGGTGACTTGCCTCAACCCCTTCCACTGTGTGTTCTCTGCACTTTGTTGCTTACCTGCACTGGCCTCTCAAAGGCCAGCCGCCTGCCTGCCTCCTTTCTCCTGTCACTCCAGCACACTTAGTTCCTACCGCAGCAGACACTTAGCGAGGTGGCTGAAATGCACTGGCCTAGGTGTCATTGTCAAGTGTCAGGACACGTCACCTAGAACCAATGAAAAGCTGCCTCTCATTAAGTAAGCCCCTCACTTGGGCCTCTGTGGGCCTCCTGGTTTAAGGCAAGAGGCACATTTTGGTTTGGAGCCTGGACTAGAGGGGGAGAAAATTCTGGGTAGAAAGTTCCAGCTCTTCAAAGCCCTTGGGAGTTGGGAGGGATAGAGTGAGAGGAGCAGTAGTTGAAATGCCTGGCTGTCCTCACTTTCTTGATTTTTTTTTCCAGCGCACTCTCTGAATCACCTGGGCCCTGAGGGGTGGTCTCACCCTGTTTTGCACTTCCTCATTGTCACCATGGTCTCGCTCAACATTTCTGGGGCAGACGCCACCCTCCCCCTTCTCTTTCCACCTTTCTCACCCCCACGTTCCTGGGCTGTGCAGACCCTCAGAATGCTCCCAGTCCCTGCATCTCCAGAGCTGAGATGCTCTGAGCCTATGATCCACAAAGTGATGGAAAATGCACGACTCACCAGGGGCTGGCTTCTTCCAAGTGGCACTGGTTCGTCAGGTTTCTCAGCAACTGAACCAAGCAGATCTGGAGGTAGGAACTTGGTGTGCAGAAGTAGGAAATAAAGTTTCCTGCAGAGGAGAAGGCGGGGATACAAGAGTAAGGGTAAAGATTTGAAGAAAACAAGAAGAGTCATGCAGTTCTTCTTTGCTAGCCAGGAACACTGTCCGCTAGGTTGAGGTCTCCAGAGTAGGATTGATTTTGAAATCTTGCTTATGCAACCTTGAGAGCGAGTCAGACACACCCTGTACGTCTGCTCCTGTGTCTAACGACTCAGAGCTTCTTTATTTTGTGGGTCTCTATATCTAGAAATCTTTTACTCTCTCTCCTGCCAGTGATAATTTGCATGAAACGAGCAAAAGAGAGCTTCAGGAGGATACATGCTAGCCAGGGCTGTTGGTGATGGTGGAGGAAATATAATGAGGTTTTATGTGCAAAGTGCCCTGGTTTCAGTGGCATCACGGATTTAAGATCAGGTTAGAAATTTCATTAAAGGGAGCTTTTTAATGAAAGGAAATGCTCCATGGTCTTTTGTGTCAGAGATGTCCTTAGTAAGAAGGGTCTCAGTGATAGGTCTTACTACTCAGAAGTTTTGTTAAAAGAAAACATCATTGAGATTCTGGGGAAATGGTGGAGGAGGAAGCACCAGGAATCTCTCTCTCCACCTAGACAACAATTTTCCTGGGAGAATCAGTCTGATTTAACTATTTGGGAACCCTTGAGTCTGCTGATAACTTTCAGGAGTAGACTTGCACGGTCAATCGCAGTTAGCTTTGGTCAATTTTAGCTCCTAACACAATAGCAGCTGCTCATCTACCGTACCCAGGCTCCAGGTGGCCTTGCACATGTTCCAGGTGGCCTTGGCACACAACTTGCAGGAGCCAGGGTGGGCAAAAATTGGACTCTGCTCTCCAGATATGAGGGAATCTGTGCTCGGATCACTGGCTGCTGATTCTGATCTCAGAGGTGCACAGAGGCAGACAATCATTGCCGTTGCATTTCCCCCCATTGCTGCAAGCCCATCCTCCTCTGGCTGAAGTGACTTTTAGGAGATTTAAAGGGCCAGTGCCCTTTATTTTTCTCTCCATTTTCTCTTTTTCCTCTTTTGGAAGCCAGACATTAAAGACCAGGAGATTTAAAAGCAACTGCATTTCTGGGGAACATTAGAAGGTGACCCATACATACCCAAGGAGAGGCACAGGCTCAGAAGAGACCCAAGAAGACCTTAATTTCACACCTCAGGCTGATCCTTGGCACAGACACAACTTACAACAATTTAAAAATATAACAAAAACCATCAAACCCTGGAGAAGAGTTATCACATTATTAGAATCAAATGCCCAGTTTTCAACAACAATAGCAAAATCATAAGTCATGCAAGAAACATGAAAGTATGATCCATTCGAAGGAAAAAAATCAACAGAAACTGTTCCTGAAAAAGATCTGATGGCAAATTTACTAGACAAAGACTTTAAAATAGTGTCTTAAAGATGCTCAAAGAACTAAAGGAAGATGTGGAGGAAGTCAAGAAAACTATGAAAGAACAAAATGTAAATATAAATAGAGAAAACCCTGAAAAAAAAAGACCAAAAAATTCTGGAGCTGAAAAATATAATAACTGAAATAAAAAATTAATTATAGGGATTCAAAAACAGATTTGAGCAGGCAGAAGAAAGAACCAACAAACTTTTAGATAGGACAATGGACATTATTGAGTCTGAGGAACAGAAAAAAATGTTGAAGAAAAGTGAACAGAGGTTAAGGAATCTGTGCGATTTGAGCAGGCAGAAGAAAGAACCAACAAACTTTTAGGTAGGACAATGGACATTAGTGAGTCTGAGGAATAGAAAAAACATTGAAGAAAAGTGAACAGAGGTTAAGGAACCTGTGGAAGTTCCAGGGGGAAAGAGGGAGAGAGAAAGGAGCAGAGAGAATATTTGAAGAAATAATGGCTGAAATTTTCCCAAACTTGAAGAAAGACATGAATATAAACATTCAGGAAGCTCATAAGCTCCAAATAAGATAAATTCAAAGAGACTCACACCAAGACACATTATAATCAAACTTTTAAGAGACAAAGACATACAGATAATCTTGAAGCAGCAAGGAGAAATAACTCATCACATACAGGGGATCCTCATTAAGATTAGTAGCAGATTCCTCATCAGAAACGTAGTGCTATATCTGCAAAATTGTCCAAGAGTGAGGGAGAAATCAGGGCATTCCAAAATACATAAAAACTGATAGAACTTGTTACCAATAGGCCTGCCCTGCAAGAAATGCTCAGGGTAGTGAGGTGTCCAGTGACTAGCAGCAGTGGAGCTTTTAGGCCTATACTTGAAGGGTTGTAGGATAAACAATATTCTGGAGTTGAGTTGAAAGTCAAAGGATGCAGCCATTACTAGGACATTGGCAACTCAGGAGAAGAGCAGGAGCAAAAAGTACCCTAATGTTTGATTTCTACTCTGATCTCCTGCCAGTGCCTACAAGTGCCTGAACACACCAGACAGAGGGATAAATGGGGAATCTAGGTGATGTAGCCCATAAGTGTTGCTTCCAGGGGCTCAGAGTGGATCTGGGGGAGAATGGTGAATAACCACACAACTATCAGGCCAAACTTTTTTTTTTGTCCATTTGTTCTCACCTGGTCCATGTAGATAGTCAGAAAGTTGGGAATCTGGGTAAGTATACCTTAGAATTCTTCATACACATGGAAAGAGTTAGGAAAGATGCTTTTCCTGAAGTTTGAGACTCCCATATCTACCTGTGGCACATGGTTTCTGAAATTCTCAGTCTAGAAGAGGAGGGTAGCCCTTTGAGCAGACTTTGGGGAAAGCATGTCACTAGCCTCCTATTTCTGGTTTGCCTGCTGACCAGGCAGGATCACATGAAAGTCATGGCCGTGATCAACTCAGGATGATCTGGGACAGGGATGAGGAGACACTCAATTCTTCCATAAACCAATGAAATAAAAATAGTTCATGCTTCTCCAAAGAAGAGGGAAGAACCAGACCTACACTGGCCATGGGAAGTTTAAAATTCTTGTTTATTTGTAGCAGCAGAGTTGAGGGTTAGATCACCGAAGCTGAAAGTTAGGTTTGTTCTAAGAATCTCTCTGCCCTTCCATGAATGATAGTACTCAATCAAATAAAAACATGGGAAAGAGCATGGTTGGAGAGAATTACTGCTCCAGCAAGAAGACAGGCAAGTTTACAACAGCCTGAGGGTACTTCTATGCCCCCTTGTAACTTCTTTACTGTGATGATTTGTTTGTTGACACCTTTAGAAGATAAATTCTTACTTTTTTTTTTCAATACAGATGCTTTTGATGACTGTGGTTTCTATGGTTTGCATACTTCCTGTGACCTACTAAAATAGATTAGTGAGTTCTAGGATTTTACATCTTCAATTTTGGTTTAAAACAATGATCTAGACTAATATAATGCCCATAGAAAAAACACAATTATAAAGAATACTACAAAAATAATACAAATTATTACCACTATCATTATTGCATGTGATAAAATAACATAATAGGGCATATAGTCACAGCAAGAAAACCCAGAAAATGCAAACGATTTTTGAAAAGGAAGTGTTAAGTAACAGAGGTCAGGTATGAATGTCTCCAAGTTCATCACCATCTCCAAGTGAATCAAAAATAGACAAGAATATGTAATGAAAAATAGAAATAAAAAATGTTATCAACAATGGTTATTTATATCTTTTTTAACTTAGAGTGTAGTGATAGCAGATTGGATGTTTCTGTACTTTCAGGCCCAATGAACTTTGGGAAAATAGAGGTGAAGTCAGGATTTTTAATACATTCACTTGCTGAAAAGCCTTCTCAAGTGACTTAGGGGATGCCACTGGAACCCTGTACTAGGAAGAGAATCTTGTGTTCTTCTATAGCCCAGATGTTTTAAATTGTTCTGTAACTAAGATCTTAGTTTAGATGCCTCAGACATGACAACAGTGGGCTGGGGCTGTTTTGGGGAATGAGAAGCTAGAATTCATTCTTACCACCATTACATGCCATTCCTTTTCCTTCCCCTGCCCAAGGCATGGTGTGTAGGAGGAGGATGGGGTGAGTGCCTACAGGATGCGGTTTCATACATGGCATAGGGGGCCATAGATACTGACATCACCTACCATTTGAGTGAGGCTTCTGAGGTGTCCCAGGAAGGGGCACAATGCTGTAGCCAACTGCAAGCAACCCAAATAGTGCTCTTTATTTGGGTATAGCTGTCATGAGAGAAACCCACAAAGCTAGATGTGGCAGAGATTGTAGCTGGAGGACATGACTGAGGCCTTGCACTTGGTGGGCAGTGGGAGAGACCTTAACTAAGTGTGGCTAGTTGGAGATGTACCCAACTGCTGCTGGCTTTGCAGATACCATAAATATTTGGTGGTGGGGAAAGGACAAATTGAAGAACAA